GGAGCCTTCCTTTCCCCCCCCCCCCCCGCCCCCGCCTAGGCTGGCCCCGAGCTTCCATAGCAGCCCCCAGTGGTCTGCCTTTGCACTTCCCTGCTGGCTGTAGCCATTTGGGGCTTCACTGCTAGTGGGTGGCCTCCCCAGGCCCAGAACAGCCCTTCCACAAGCTGCTGAGTAAATTGAAGACCCTGCCATCCCCCTGCTCCAGAGCCTGGCCCCATGGCAGGTGCTGGCTGTTTGTTTGGTCATTAGTCTTCCCTCCCTGCCAAGCAGGGCCTTGAGGCTACAGCGTGGGCTGCGGGCTTCACTAGCTGGAAAGTGACCATCCCAGAGCCCAAGGCACACAGGCTGCTGCGAAAATTAGGGACTGTGCTGGGGCCAGTCTTCTACCCCCCAAGTTACCTTTAGGGCAACTTGCTCTACCCAGCTGAGACCCCGCCCTGGATCTCCATCTCCCGGAAGGCCCTCTGTCCCCCAGCCAGTATCAGCCTGCTTTTCCCCACAGCCTACTCCAGCCCCACCTTCTCCTTGGCCCCAGAGCCTGCCACAGCCTCCTCCTTCCCTGCTCACCCCACTCTTACCACTGCGTGCATCCTGGTCTGGCTCATGACCTTGACTCACCCCCTTCGTCTTGCTGAGCCTTGGTACCTCATCTGCTAAATAGATCATCATCAGATTTGGGCACATCAGGCGCCCAAGAAATGGCGGTAGTTGGATAAGGGCCACTTCTTTGGCCTTAGGCTGCTTTGCGATGCCACCAGGCTCTGTGTGTGTTGGCCTTTTCTCTCTGGTGAGTCCCTCACTACCTTGAAGACAGAGATCCTGTCCTTTGCATCTTCTTACTCTTCCCTGACCCTCCCGCTTGAACCCATCACGAGAGGAGGCAGGGTCTTCCTCTCGCACAATAAATGCTCACTTATTGCCAAGGGGGACTCCGCAGTCTTTGAGTTGCTCACTCCGGCCTCTGCTGCCTGAAGGAGAGGCGGGGCTGGAATGAGGGCACAGAAGAGTTGGGTGGCTCCCGGGGGTAGTGCGTAGACACTGGGGCTCCCCGGCCTCCGGGGCATGGCCCAGCAATCCCCAGACAGCACTCCATGGGGACAGGGCTGAGAAGTGGGGTTCGCCTGGAAATGGGGCGCTATGAGTAAGCAGAACAGATTTCTTTTTAAAATATATATATATATTTTTATTGATTTCAGAGAGGAAGGGAGAGGGAGAGAGAGATAGAAACATCAATGATGAGAGAGAATCATTGATCGCTGCCTCCTGCACGCCCCACACTGGGGATCGAGCCTGCAACCTGGGCATGTGCCCTGACTGGGAATTGAACCGTGACCTCTTGGTTCATAGGTTGAGCCACGCAGGCTGGGCAGCAGATTTCTTGGTTGCGCACATTGGGGCACTGGTCAGTGGGTTCTCATGGGGGCGTGTCTCTGCCACAGGTGAACGGGAAGGAGCTCTCCAAGCTGTCTCAGGAGCAAACCCTGGAGGCCCTGCGTTCCTCCAAGGAGCCCCTGGTGATACAGGTGTTGAGACGCAGCCCCCGCCTCCGGGGGGACAACTCCTGTCATGACCTGCAGCTGGTGGACAGTGGCACTCAGACTGACATCACCTTCGAGCATATCATGGCGCTGGGCAAGCTGCGCCCGCCCACGCCACCCATGGTCATCCTGGAGCCGTACGTCCTATCTGAGCTGTGAGTCGCCCTCAGGAGGGCCCCGGGCCCTGCCTCCAGAGAGGGCACGCCACCAGGGGCAGCCATCCCCACCCCACCCAGAGGCTGCGTTGCTGCAGCTCTGGGCATGGCGGGGAGACCCCGACTGGCTTGCCCTCTCAGGCAGGAAGCAGGCTCCTTGGCCTCCAGAGTTGACTGTGGCACCCAAGGGCTCAGAAATCTCCAGGCCTCTAGCCTCAGGCTGAACACCAGCCGGGGAAGGGGCCAGGGGAGGTTGACAAGCAGGCTCCTCATTGTATCTACCCCCAGGGCCAAGGGAGGACCATCCTGGGATCTTGCTGCTGGAAGGTTGAGGTCCTCAGCTCCTCCTCCTCCATCCTCTCTCCTCTGCCGTCCCATCGTCTTCTGCCTCACAAGCATCACCCCTTGAATCTTCTTGCATCCTTGTCTGTCCCATCTCTCTCCCTGCTCTGAACTTCTTCCATCTCTTCGGCTTCTTTCTTTGGCTTTGGCCCACTCAGAAGAAGGGCCTCTCACCCAGGCCTGGTGGCTCATGACTGTGTGAGCGCTGACTCATTCTGCTAGTCTAAACCCCGTCTGCAGGGAGGTGGTCCCGGGATCCCCTCCGCAGAGAGGTAGGCCCAGGGCTGCCGGCTGCCAAGCTTAGCTTCGGGGCAACGAGGGCCACCCTTGGAGGTAGAGTGGGCCCTTCTCTGCCCCCCAGCAGTCCTCCGGGGCCTGGATAACTCCTGGGGGCGTTGCATGAGTGGGGTCAGTGCTGGGCGGGAAGGATACCCACAGTTTGGAGAAGTCACTGCCAGCTGGCATGGTTTGAGGAGTCTGAGCTGGGGGACGGTGCGGGACAGGCTTAGGGGTCTAGGCATGCCTGCATCCTCAGTGTGAACCCCCGCACACTCCTGGTCTATGCATGGATGCATGTAGCTCAGAAGGAGGGAGTTCTGGAAGAATAGCCTGACCCCATCTTCCCTGAGGGTGTACCCAGAGCAGGGTTCCATGCTGAATGCAGTGGGACTGGCCAGCCCGGGAGCTGGGGCTGGGGCAAGGGCATGAGAGGAGCAGATGGCCAGCCTGATCCCCCCCTTCTCCTGGGCAGCCCCCCCATCAGCCATGAGTATTATGACCCAGCGGAGTTCATGGAGGGCGGCCCGCAGGAGGCAGACCGTGTGGACGAGCTGGAGTATGAGGTGAGCCAGGCGGCCAGGGCAGGGCCCGCAGCCAGCCTCAGGAGCCAGTCCCAGGATGACTGTCTACAGCCCATCTCAGGCCTGGCTCCTGCTGCTTCCAGGCGGCTGGGCCTTGTGGTCCTTCCCGGGGTGTGGCTGGTTACTCAGGCTCACCCACCAAGTCTGGCTGAGTTGGGGAGGGCACGGGTGAGATCACAGTCGGTTTATGTTGGTGAGTCTGTGTCCCGCACATGTCTGTGTCCTATGCGTCCTGTGCGTCTCGTGCGTATGTCTCGGGCATTTCCTGGTAAGAAACACATGCGCCATTTGGGGATGGTAAGAAAATCCTCCAAATCTGGAGGCTCAGCTCAGGTGAAGTGCTGCTGGGGGACCAGGCTGGGCCGTGCCCACCACCACCGCATGGGTCCTTGCTCACGTATTTCCGGGGCTTTCTTCCTCTGCTTCCCCCACGCCCCCTTGTGGCAGGAGGTGGAGCTGTATAAAGCCAGCCACCGGGACAAGCTGGGCCTGATGGTTTGCTACCGCACCGATGATGAGGAGGACCTGGGCATCTACGTTGGAGAGGTATGAAGGTGGGGAATATGGCAGTGGAGTCTTCTAGAAGGCAGCAGAGCCTCATGCTGTCTTTGGTGTACTGGGACCTCAAAGCTGGACTTTGATGATGCCCATCTGTACTGCCCCAGTGAGGTGAACGGGCACCATGGTAGTGTGTAGTGAGGCAGGGCCTGGCACACAGAGAATTCCCATAGCATCCAACACCTTGGCCTTTGCACACTGCCCAAGGTGCTCAGGCTGCCCACAAGGACCCAGCTGCCAGGGATAAGGCCTGCTTAGCATCAATAGTCAGTGTATGCCCAGCCTGACAGCCCTCCCCCAGCGTACGTGGCCAGGGTGGGACAGTGGGCAAGGCTGAGGCAGGCTAAGGTCCCGGCCAGGCTTTGTTATTCCTCGCACGTCTTGCAGCCGCCCTCCTGGCACTCATGGGGGTCATTCTCCTCCACCTGTCTGTGTGTCTGCAGGAGGAGGGATGACTCCCCTGCTGCCATCCACAGTCTAGCAGTATCCTAATCAAGTTAACCTCCATAGGACTATCCCACTGCTATTTTTTGAGTTTGGGAAAGTATCCTAGCCTCTGACACAAAAGCCTGGGAGAACAGGCTTTCATGCAAAAAGGAGTGTAGGGTTGCCAGCCAGCGCATGGGCATGAGGGGGTGTTGGAAGGGGCTGGAAGGTTCGGGTCAGTAAGTTGGTGGCTCATGCTAAGGAGAGGCGACTAGCCCCAGGCCCACTGTTCTGTCCCCGCCTCCTGGAGCTTGGGAGCTCCTGGTCTGAGCTGAAGAGGGAGTGAGCGAGGAGCCTTTGCTTGGCTTTGGGGACTCCAGAAGTGAGGCTGACCTGTTCTACTCAGAGGGCACCTTAGCGGAGGTGCCAAGTGCCCACCCACGATGTGTGTGCCTTGCAGGTGAATCCCAACAGCATTGCAGCCAAAGACGGCCGGATCCGAGAGGGAGACCGAATCGTCCAGGTGAGCGGGGCCAGCATGCCTGACTCCAGGCTCCACTGTGCCAGCTGCCCCTCCACTACTTCTTTTTTTAAAAATATTTTTATTGATTTCAGAGAGGAAGAGAGAGGGAGAGAGATAGAAACATCCATGATGAGAGAGAATCATTGATTGGCTGCTTCCTGCACGCCCCTTATTGGGGGATCGAGCCTGCCACCTGGGCATGTGCCCTGACCGGGAATTGAACCACGACCTCCTGGTTCATAGGGCGTCACTCAACCACTGAGCAACACCGGCCGGGCTGCCCTACCACTTCTTAGCTGAACCCAGCTCAGTCCTGCTAAGAGCTTAGCTTGGTGCCAGGCAGCCTAAAACCAGGCTGGGTCTCCTCTCTCTGCACAGCTGCTCTGTGTGGCTCCCGTGTGCCCATGGGATCTGCTCTGGCACCTTACTAGCCTCTCCCTCTGTCCCCCAGATGTGAGCACATCTGTCCCATGTTGTCCTCTGAGAATATGTGCCTTTGCACAGGCCAGGCTGTCCTCTCCTGAGGCACCTCCCACTTCTCTCCACCCTGCCAAAGCTTGGGGAGCCTGTTCCAGCCCAGGGTGCTCACCCAGGGCCTGCCCCTCAGCCAGCTCTGGCATCCCTGCTGATTGTTCCTCCCCCGCCACAGATAAACGGTGTGGACGTCCAGAACCGGGAAGAGGCGGTGGCCATCCTGAGCCAGGAGGAGAACACCAACATCTCCCTGCTGGTGGCCCGGCCTGAGAGCCAGGTGTGTGTCTAGCAGGGTGTTCTGGGTCCCCTCCCATCAGGCTTTCTGTCTTAGAATCTGCTGATCTGTGTCAGGGGCACAGACATGCCAACAACCTGGCACTGATAGAGAGCTGGCAGTGTCCCAGGGCCTGTTTCCCCTTTTGGCCTATGCTGGTCGGGACCACCCCCTCTCTGGGGTTTTTAACTCTGTTGGGTATGGAACGTTGAGGCAACTGGAGGGGTGGCTGGGGAGGTTCTTAAGACAGTGGGACATCACGGGCCTGTCTCTGCAGCTGGCAAAGCGAATGAAGGACAGTGACCGCGATGACTTCCTGGATGTCTTGGGCTCAGAGAATGAGGGGAAGTTGAAATCCCCCCCTGCCCAGCAGGTGAGGAAGGAAGAAGGGCAGGTGGTGGGGAGGGCCAGCAGGAAGGGAGGGTGAGGAGGGGCTGGGCATGTGTAGGAGGTGGGCTGGACCCCAAAGCCCTTCTGATCACCCCATCCTCTTTTGGCGCCCCTGCTAATGGGACCCAGACTGAGTAGGGTTCATCTTTCTACCCCAGCTCGGAAAAGAAGAGGAGCCAGGGGCCCCGGATGTGGGCCCGGGCCTGAGCAACAGCCAGGAGCTGGACAGTGGGGTGGGTCGGACTGACGAGAGCACCCGCAATGAGGAGAGCTCTGAGCACGACCTGCTGGGGGATGAGCCCCTGAGCACCACCAACACGCCCGGCACCCTGCGCAAGTTTGGCCTGCAAGGGGACGCCCTGCAGAGCCGCGACTTCCACTTCAGCATGGACTCCCTGCTGGCTGAGGGGGCTGGGCTGGGGGGTGCCGAGGTCCCGGGCCTCACCGATGAGGAGTACGAGCGCTACCGGGAGCTGCTGGAGATCAAGTGCCACCTGGAGAATGGCAACCAGCTGGGCCTCCTCTTCGCCCGCGCCTCCGGTGGCAACAGCGCCCTGGACGTCAACCGCAACGAGAGCCTGGGCCACGAGATGGCCATGCTGGAGGAGGAGCTGCGGCACCTGGAATTCAAGTGCCGCAACATCCTGCGGGCGCAGAAGATGCAGCAGCTGCGGGAGCGCTGCATGAAGGCCTGGCTGCTAGAGGAGGAGAGCGTCTACGAGCTGGGCGCCAGCGAGCCCAAGAAGCGTGAGCTGCCCGACATCTCCGAGCTGCCCGAGAAGTCTGACAAGGACAGCACCAGTGCCTACAACACGGGGGAGAGCTGCCGCAGCACCCCTCTGCTCACCGAGCCGCTGCAGGAGAGCCCCCTGAGGCGGGCCGCTGCTGGCAACTCCAACTTGAATCGGACCTCCTCTGGCCCCCCTGTCGCCACCCACCCCAAGGCAGCTCCTCCACAGGGGAGCCCCGGCAAGTTCCGATCCCTCTCCCGGGATCCCGAGGTGGGCCGGAGACAGCACTCAGAGGAGCGCGTCCGCCGCAGCCCCAAGATGGGGGTCACCCTGGAGCGCGTGGGTCCCGAGGGCAGCCCTTACCTTTCCAGGCGCCACCGAGGCCAGGGCCAGGAGGGCGAGCACTACCAAAGCTGTCTGCAGCTGGCCCCTCCGCGCTGCCTGGAGGATCTGGGCCACGTCCCCTTGAGTTTGGCTGGTGGCCCTCGGGTGGGCGGAGCTGTGGCTGCAGCCAGTGAAGGGCCCCGCATGGAGTGGAAGGTCAAGGTGCGCAGCGATGGAACCCGCTATGTGGCCAAGCGGCCTGTGCGTGATCGCCTCCTAAAAGCCCGGGCCCTGAAGATCCGTGAGGAGCGCAGTGGCATGACCACGGACGACGATGCGGTCAGTGAGATGAAGATGGGCCGCTACTGGAGCAAGGAGGAGCGGAAGCAGCACCTGATCCGGGCCCGGGAGCAGCGCAAGCGGCGTGAGTTCATGATGCAGAGCCGGTTGGAGTGCCTGAGGGAACAGCAGAACGGCGACAGCAAGGCTGAGCTCAACATCATCGCCTTGAGCCACCGCAAGACCATGAAGAAGCGGAATAAGAAGATTCTAGACAACTGGATCACCATCCAGGAGATGCTGGCCCATGGCACTCGCTCAGCTGATGGCAAGCGAGTCTATAACCCTCTGCTCTCTGTCACCACCGTCTGAGCCGCCCAGATGGGAGCCAGCTGCACTATAGGGCGGGCCCTCCGCCCCTGCCCAGGTCCAGTGAGCCTCCAGGAATCCTACCCCCTCCTCTCCCTTAGAATCTAGTGTGTGTCTTTGTGCACAGGTGTGCACACACCTGTCTTTGTATTTGTGCACAGGACTTTGTTACCAGAAAGAAGCCCCCAAGGAGAATGGGCACCCCTTCCATTGTGTGTGTGTGTGTGCGCCTGTGTGTGCGCGTGTGCAACACTAGCCCAGGCACATGCACGTGCACACACTCACCCCCACCCCCCCAGCTCTCTCAGTGTGTTGAGCTGAAAAGGAGAGGTAAAGAGGATTGTCCTAAGCACAAGAGAATGTCCAGCTCCCGAGCTGAGCCGACTCTCCCCCCTGCTGGGAGCCTCCACTATTTGTAGACAAAGGCGACCCTGTTTTTGTGGTTTTTCTCCCTTTCTGTGCTTGCCAATTGTTTTTCTGTTTTGTGCACCTGCCCTGGGGGCTAGCAGCTCCTTCAGGCAGCCTGACAAAGGTGGAACCCCCCCTAGTGAGGGCTGGGAAGGAGGGGGGTGGGAGGGGGAGTAAGA